CCCCCCCCCCTACAAAACACCTTCTTCCCCCCAAAAAACGACAAAAACTCCATCTGAGTTTCCGTGTTTTTTTTGGGTGTGTTTTGTGGGAATAAATAATACAATCAAAATACTTTTACGTATAAGCCCCCGATATCCATTCATTTTAACTTTACCGTAGAAGAGGGAACAAAACATTTTACGGTCGCTAGAGTTACTTCCCTTTCGAAATGCTGTTGTGATTGTTGTGATGAGTGAAGCTGAAATGATAGTTTAGTAATGCATACATTGTCATGTAGAGTAGATCTAGATCTAGTTAGTTATCTGATTCGTTCTCTTCCTGTGAAATATATTTAGCTTAGGTTAGCATTTGTCTTGTTTTCTTGCTGGAGGAAGCTGCATGAAGTTCCTTGTTTGAGACCAGTCAAGTGAGATGGAGATATTCTTGAACCTGTCTTGTGACTTACTTTACTTTAGACTTTAGGTAGCTCTATTAAATTACTGAACTATTAGCTAGGAGTCACATAGGTCTAGAATCTACTGTGAACCTTGGACTTATTTTAGAAATTCTGACCGTGAAGTTGCCCATGACACTGGTGGTCATCTCTGTACTACTGATTTATTACTAATTCTTAAAGTTAAAGTGAAAAGTTTCAGTTTTGGGTGTACCTTCTTTGTTTCTGTACACAGCAGAGAGACTCCTGACTCAGAAGAAGTAGGCCTATTCTCGGTAATCTCAGCGTAGATCTACTGCTACTACTACTCGTATTAATACTATAGCCCCACTGTGCTGCTGTATACAGCAGGCTACGCTAAATTAAATTTCGTTGTGAGGTTGTCATTGTGCAGTCTAGATTCTAGTACAACAAGTCAACAAGTCTAGATCTAGATCAAGATCAGCTACTCCTCCCTAACTAGTGGACTAGACTCTCTCTACTAGGGGCAGTCAGTCTTTGATTTCTTTTTTATTTAAAAATCGAATCTGAAGATAAAATTTGTTTGTTGATTGTGTGAGAGAGAACCCAATAGTAGGGACAAATAAAGCAAGGGAGATCTGACTGACACTGATTCACTCTCAAGGAACCCACAGTATGTTACTCAGTTTTATTCTTCGCAGTGGCTATTTTTACGGCGTGCCGTAAAGATAGCCTCCCAGTGAGTCCCAGGCTATTTTTACGGTGATCCTCGAAAAGCGACCCTACTCCGCCTCTCATGTACGCGACATGCCTCAATGTATTAGATCTAGGCCTATAGTAGGAGCCGTTCAAAATATAATCTTACACCTCAGAGGGGAAAGGGTGTCTTTGGCTTCTGTAAGAAAAGTGTAAGATTGGGTGGGGGGGTTAACCAAATATGACACTTCTGTGAGATGAACGTTTTGCT